TTATTTTCGTATCCATAGGTTTGTTTCTTTTCTTTTATTTTATTATTTTTTTTGCAAATTTGTTATTTGATCCTAAAATAAAATAAATATCTTAGAAGATATTAAGATCATTAATGTGGTTAGTGAATTCTTACATTCAACTCATTGTGGTTGATGTTTGTGAGATACATTATCCTCATCCTGATTTATCATGCGATATTCTATGACAGGTTTCACAAATCTGATGGCATTTGAATTTTTATACCGCTTAAAATGGTTTCATTTGGTGGAAACAGATTTTGATTCTAGATGAAGCCGATAGACTATTGGATACGGGATTCCAAAAGCAGACCAGTGCTATCATATCACACCTGCCAAAGCAAAGAAGAACGGGTCTTTTTTGAGCCACTCAAACTGAGGCAGTTGAGGAGCTATCCAAAGCAGGATTAAGGAATCCAGTGAAGGTTGAAGCTTGAGCTGAATCAAAGAGACTTAAGCATGTAACATCTTCAGAACAAATTGCCCCTTCCAAAACTCCTCACAACTTAGAATCGAGGTATTTTCTGTCTGCTGGTTGCGCCAAAATTTTCGGTGCTATCTAATTTGGATATCGTATGTGGGAGGTGTTTGGCTGAGATTATTAAAAGAGATCAAAAGAGATTCCACATATTACAAGATGCTTTGGAGCTTGGACTAGGTTATATCTTATTTGGAGATAGGTTGTTAAGAGTATTTTGATAAAATACTATGGTGGGATTTATTAGATGTTACTGACCATATGCTAACTAAAATAGTTACAGAAATGTTTTTGCTTTTTATTTTTATCAATTTTTCCTTTGGGAAAATATATAATATAATATTTGTTTGTGAAATATCCTCTCAATAAAATACTGTATATTTGGGAGCAAAATGTGTGTTGTATATTTGTGAACAAGTCATCTGGTAAGTTTTTGAGCATTGGTTGCACCTGTAGTTGTTGGTTGGTGTGTTTGTTGTTCCGGTAGACATGTTGTTGATCAACATTCATATTGGACAAACTAAAATTCGCAACAACAAAGTAAATAAAAAAACAACATATTTTGTTGTATTTAGTGTAGTCTTTCATGCTTCTTCTGAAACAATAGGTGTAAGATCTAAATATACTCATTCATCTCGATCCATCAAATCACAACATCATCCAGCATAAAAAGAAAGACGCAAAATACTTTTTGGTTGATTTGATTGTTGCCTTTTTCAGTTGTGCTTTATGGTTTGTGCTTTCTCAGATTCAAATTGTGTTTTCTCAGATTCAAATATCTTGTAATTTTCGCAAAGTTTCCTTTGGGAAAGTATATAATATAATATTTATTTGTGAAATATTCTCTCAGCAAAATGTTGTATATTTAGGAGCAAAATGTGTATGTTGTTTATTTGGGTAGCTGCTACACCTGTAACAAGCACACTAATCAGTTAGATATACAACATACACATTTTGCTCCCAAATATACAATATTTTGCTGACAGGATATTTCACAAATAAATATTATATTATATACTTTCCCAAAGGAAACTTCGCGGAAATTACACAGAGGATATTTGATCTGAGAGAACACAGTTTGGATCGGATATTTGATCTGAGAGAACACAATTTAGATCTGAGAAAGGACAAGCCACAAAGCACCACCGGAAAAGGCAACAATCAAATTAACCAAAAAGTATTTTGCGTCTGATTTCCTTTATTTTCTTTTTATGTGTCTGTAAAATTGATTGGGTGATGTTGTGATTTGATGGATCTAGATTAATTGGTATATTTAGATCTGTCAAGGTGGCTTACACATAGGAGAAGCATGAAATACTAAACTAAATACAACAAAATATGTTGTTGTTTTTTATTTACTTTGACATCCATTGATAGTTGCGGATCTTAGTTTGTCTAATATGAATGTTGATTAGCAACATGTCTATCGGAGCAAAACGTACACCAACCAGCAGCTACAGGTGCAACTTGTGCTCAAAACCTACCATATGACTTGTTTCCAAATATACAACATACACATTTTGCTCCAAATATACAACATTTTGCTGAGAGGATATTTCACAAATAAATATTATATTATATACTTTCTCAAATGAAACTTTGCAGAAATTACACAGAGGATATTTGGATCTGAGGAGCACAAGCTACAAAGTACCACCGACAAAGGCAACAATCAAATCAACCAAAAAGTATTAGTCTGATTTTCTTTATTTTCTTTTTATGCTTCTGTAAAATTGATTGGGTGATGTTGGGATTTGATGGATCTAGATGAATGGGTATATCATTATGTGGGCTTTTTGTGATTGACGTATTATTTGCTTTTTGTATTTATCAATTCCATTATTTAATGTGATTTTTGATTGAAATCTGGATGGAGTTGATTGGGTGAGTTGTGATGTGATTTAAATCTGGATGGATCTAATTGGGTGATGTTGTGAATCTAGATGAATGGGTATCATTGTGCAGTAGCATTACCGTGTGTCAGGGCACATTTGCACGCGTCCCTCACTCTCCAAAACTAGAGAAATTAAGCGAGTGTAGTGTACATCCTCAATTTTCCTTTTTAATTGAAAATTGAGACATATTACATAAATTAAAACTAGTGCGGTACTCGTGCGATGCACGAGCTAGTTTTATTAAGGTAAGCAGTTAAATTTGAATGATTAGAAGAACATAAAAAACATATATTGAAATGAAACACCATGTAACGTTATATATTATTAAATACATCATTGTACACAAAATTATTTGTTTGGTCTTTTGGTACATTGTCTATCGCCACAAATTATATTAAGATTGTAGATAGTCTTAAATAAATCGATTAAATTATTTAGCATAATATATACGATATTTTGTAAGTGTATGAATTATTATTTATTTTGTAAGTGTATTCAGTCAATTTAAATTTGTATTCTAGATAATTAAGTAAAATCCAAATTTTTAGGATGTTACAATCCGATTTCATTTTGAATTTCAAATTAATATTATATGACTTTGTTTTATGTTTAAAAAAAAGTCTGAATTAAAGAAAGTAGTAATCAAATGATAAAAGATTTTTAAATTTTAATTTGAAATTTGGCCCGATTTTTATGTAATCTGATTTTTTTTAATAAACATGATCTGCTACAATTAGGTAAAGATACATGTTATAGTGTTTTGTCTAATTCAAAATTCTCGATTGTATGGTAAACAAATTTTTTTAATTAAAAAATGAAAGAAATTTGACTTTTACAAAATTGTCATGCCGACTATGCAATTCGATTTTTATAATAAATAATTGATTTGTTGCAATTAGTAAAGATATATGTGATAGTATTTTGCCTAATTCAAAATTCTTGATTTTATTTTAATCAGTTTTTTAATAAAAATAGAGAAAGAAAATTGACTTTTGCTTCAGTCAAAATTTACCTAAATTAAATCCACAAAATATATAAATTTAGGGTGCATATTAAAAAAAAAAACATTGTTGTACCATTTCAAGATTAAATCCATCGTAATTAGTTTTAATTAAAATATAATAATTTCCAAACGAAACACTTTAGTTCGCCAAAAATTTATGGTATGTAATATTGTTTCTTTAAGGTAGCACGATTTTTTGAAAGAAAAGTAACAAATACCATAATTTTAGGGTAGCATTTAATGCTAATTTTTTTGAAAAAAAAAAGTTACTAAGTATGGAATGTAATTAATGCTAATTGAGATTTGACCAGAATTTGACCTAATATTTTAAAAAAATGGTAATTCTTTTTATATATATATAGATATCATTAATTATTTATATTAAAAAATAAAATAAAAATACCAAAATTCATAATTTTTCATTATCTATAAATAGAGATCACATTTGATAGGTTTTTGAACACAGCTAATTTTTCGTTTTATAATATGTTCACCTTATTGTGTATGTAACATGTTCATCTTATTCTATAACATGTTCATTTTATTATGTAACATGTTCATCTTATTTTATAACATGTTCATTTTATTATGTAACATGTTCATCTTATTCTATAACATGTTCATTTTATTATGTAACATGTTCATTTTATTTTATAACATGTTCATCTAAATTTCATATGTGAAAATGTAACATTTTCATCTTATTAGAGAGGATTTTGGTTTGTGAAGGTGGAGGATATTCGATCGAAAGACTAATTTATGGATTTCTTTTACATTCTACTAGTTTTCACTTTCCTTCCCTATAGTACGACTATTGCATAAATTTGAGTTCTTAACTCTAGATTATGGTTTATTATTTCAGGGCGGGGATGCTTGCATTAAACGAGTGAAAGTCGAGCAAGAATTTGACCAGAATTTTGTGTATAAAGTGGAAATGGGAGAAAATAATGTGAGAGCCCGTGATGTAGATATGGAATCTAAACATGTTCATCTTATTCTATAACATGTTCATTTCATTATGTAACATGTTCATCTTATTCTATAACATGTTCATTTTA